ACACCCTTCAAACAAAACCAGATAGTATGGCCAAGAATATGTTGTTTTTTTCACTGACAGGAAAATTAGCATTCAATACACCCTTTTTGATCAGGAGGGTTTTGGACGGGCTTGGCCCCAATAAATATGGTCACATACTCAAACCCTAAAGACCTAAAATACTCACATACTCAAATCCTGAACTATGGATGCCTCTCCCTCAACCAAACGAGCCCTAGTTTACTCTTCTACTAGCAGTGATGGCATATCTTACTCTTCTACTACCAGTGATATGAAGAAGAGATTCCTCCAACTTTTGAAGTGATTATGACTGATTCATGCATTGACTACGACGATCTGGTTATGCATCAGCATTGTATATTTTTTTTTGTGTTTAAGCTTTATATTTTCCAAAAACTTAATAGTATTGTTTTTTCTCCTTTTTTCAGTATATTCCAAGAAACATCTGCAAGTATCTTCCTCCAACATTAGAACACACGTATTTTCACCATCGTGACAAAGAGTGGATTGTAATTATGAGCGTTGGTGATCAAAAAAGGTTCAAGGTAGGCTGGAGACTTTTTGTGTTGGAGAATTTTATCAGGCGAGGTTGTCGTCAAATTTACGTTGGTTGATGTTGACCCACTGCGTGCTATCTTCAATGTGGATGTGAAGGGAGACGGATATTCTATTTGTACTAATCCGTTTTTTACTTGGTACTAGGATGTGTTTGTGTTAAATTCAAACCTTTAGTTATGGTTGTTGTACTTTTTTATGTTGCAATGTTATGTTATAAAATTTCAATCTTCATATTACTAGAATATTTTTTTTAAATTATTTATCATTCAAAAAATTAAATTACTAGAATAATTATAATTATTTAATTATTTATTATTAAATGCACCATGGGGAAGTTAAATGGGTTGGTGTGTTATTAATGTATAGTCTCATACTCTCATATACTCAAACACTAAAGACCTAAAAACACACTCTCCTACAAACACTAACTATGGACGCCTCTCACTCTACCAAACGATGCCTAACTTACTCTTGTACTAGTGAGGATGAAGAAGTGAATCCTTCAACTTTTGAAGTGGTTATGACTGATTCATACATCAACTATGACGATCTGGTTATGCATCAGTGTTGTATATATTTTTTTGTGTTTAAGCTTTATATTTTTCCGAAAACTTACTAAAATTATTTTTTTTCTAGTATATTCCAAGAAAATTCTACAAGCATCTTCCTCCAACAGTTGAAACCGCGCTTCTTCCTTATCGTGGAAAAGAGTGGTTTGTATCTATGAGCGTCGGTGATCGACGAAGTTTCAAAGAAGGCTGGAAACTTTTGGTTTGGATAATTATGTCAAGCGAGGTTTCGTCGTCAAATTCACGTTGGTGGATGTTTCATCACTGTATGTTGACTTCAATGTTGAAGTGAAGGGAGAAGGAATTCATGATCGTAATCTAGTTGAAATTGATTAGTTTTTAGGATCTGTTTTGTGTTTTCCTATCCCTTTATTATTTTTAACCTTTTATTGTTGATTTAATTATTCTACTTGTGCTTTTGATTTGCTATAACAATTTTCATTTCTTACGTTTGAAATCAATTTCAAAGACCATTTTTATTTTATTTTTGTAACAACATATTTCCAACCGGTTGAGAATAAAATCTTGGACTTAAAATTCAACCTAATTCTACCTACACACTACTAAAACGATTGGGAATAATAAATGCTTCATTGAGAAGCTAAATATTTGAGACTAATAAATGCTGCATTGAAAAGCTAAATAGTAGGCATGAGAAGCTCAATGGTAACCTACCAACCCGATTTTTTTGGAATGGAGAAGAGAATTTTTTTGTTGTTGTGATTTTACTAGAATTTTTCATTAGGATAATTTACAAGTATAATTTATAAAATAAATATTTTCTTAATTTTTGTATCGGATAAGCAAACATTGTCATATAAAATGAAGGAAATTAAAAGTGGAAGAACCAGAGATTCATAAAAAAGGATTCAAAAAATATATATATTAGGATGTCACACCTAATGTAATATAGGATAAATTTTTTTACAAAAACTTAGCAAATGAAAAAAAGAATCATTTGACAATTTTTAATTTCTACAAATCTAAATCCTGCTCTCCAAAATTCATAAACCACATATATTAACCGGACAAAGATCACACCAAAGGTTAAACATGATTGCAATGCTAAAGAAGTCACAAAATTCGAACTTCATAGTTAATGAAGAACTAAACATGAATTAATCATGCCCAACTTCATACATTACTTGATATTCAAAATGAAAAACAAAGTTCTCAACTCTTGCACACCAAATTAAAGAGAAATAACAGACACTTTTCTAACACAAAATAACATAAGAACTAAAATTGACATAATTACTTTCCAACATTTTCTGAAAGCTTTAACCCAATAAATATGCCCGCTAATAGAGCAGATGAAATAGCATTTACTGCACTTTCATTTGTTACTACTTCTTCACTTTCTTCAACGGCCGAGCTTGAAGATGACTCTTCCTGTGAACAACTTATTTTTTGAAATTTGTTGAAGGCTTCTAAGGCTTCATCATAATATTGGAAAGTACGAATGTAGCTACCCTCGACTCCAACAAGCATTTTAACACACTCAGACCAACTTTTGTATATTCCGACTTCTTACCACAAAAAACAACAAACACCATATATTTGAGTTGGTGTTTACCTTCAGCAGACTTTTCAAATTCATCCAACGCCGATATGGCCGCATCGTGAGACTTGAAAGACTGGAAGATGCTACGCTTAATCCCGATAACCATAGGAGAACATTCACTCCATGAGTAGTATATTCCTGAACTTTTACCAGAAAATACAACATATACTTTTGAAGCACTATTCTTGTTCGAATGCATCCTTAATCTATTAACTCACACTTAGAAGAGGATAGGAGTTTAAATGAAGGTTTGTTTAAGTATGTTATCAGGGGTTTTAAATGAGGTTTTATTTAATAGGGTATCATATGTTTAAATAGTAAGGCTTTGAAGACCTACTAAAATAATATACGGAATACACACTCAAATACTATACATATATGAAATACATAATTATATACATGTATATAAATGACTTATTTCGAATTATATGGGTGTATACTACTAAAAAAAGGGATGGAAATACGTTTAAAAAAAAATATTGGGAAGACAAATCGTGTTTGAACCCTTGAGATCTTCCATGTATTGGGAAGACAAATATTTAATGGTGGGAGAGAAATATTCTAAAGGTTACCGAAAAGGCATTTTGGGTATACAAAATCGGCTGAAACCCTAAATAGGGCGTAAAATGACTTAAATGACCCCATTTGGGTCAATCTGGCCAAAATCGGTGTGGACAAAAGGATTTTTCCTAGATTCAATATCCAATCTGAAAATCAAACAGTTGGCTAATTTAAAATCTCTTCGAAAGTTGTTGGCCAACAAGATTAGACCCCGTCTTTTTCACTGGCTTTATTAATATATGCATGCTTCATCGAGAATCTGAAGAGAAAATAAATAGGAGAATATTTTTTTGCAAGTTAGGAGAATATATACAACCGATACAGAATTATGCTCTCTACTTCCTGTTCATCTTCCCCTTCTACACTAGTTCTTCTTCATCCGCTCCAACCAATTATGGATCCATCAAATCAACATAATATGCAAATCGACAAACCAGAAACCCACATCCCAGCTAAATCTTTCCTTCAAACACTAACATCCAACACTTACCTGCCAACTTACATTTCTAACCCCTAATCGATCCACAGCAGAGGTGACCTCACTGATGAGACATCCAACGATGATGACCTTGACAATTTTATTCCCTTAACGGCTGAAGAGAAATCTCGCTTATACGCCCTTGGAAAAATTCTATCATAATAAAGGTATTTGAAAAAGTAGTTGGACACCAACTGTTAAAGACAAAGTTAACAATATTATGGAAACCAAAAGAAGAGATTCATCTTATAGATTTGGGATGCAATTTTTTCTTGATCAAATTCCACCACGAGGAGAATATGTGCAAAGCTTTGCATAAAGGGCTTTGGTTCATATTTAATCATTTCCTATCCGTTTGACAATGGGAGCCTAAATTTATCGCTTCTACCGCCCAACTAACATATGCCGCTATTTGGGCATGTCTCCCTGAATTTCCAATGGAGTTCTATGATTTTCAAATACTACAAAAGTAGGCAGCAAATTAGGGAAACTCCTAAAGGTTGATACTTGTACAACCTCTACCACGAGAGGTAGATATGCCGGGATATGCATAGAAGTCCCACTGAAAAATCAACTAAAGACCCATGTTCATCTAGGCAACCACAAGCAGGTTATCCTCTATGAAGGTATAAACTTGCTATGCACTAAATATGGACGCTTTGGGCATGTTAACTGGAGTTGTCAATTTTCTACCACCCCTCCACTAAATTCTATACCTATTGTCACTACAACTATTCCACATCCTACCTCCACCAATCCAATAACCCCATCTACAGAGGAATCAAAATGGAAAATAGTAGTTTTTCCAAAAAGGACATCCAACAGACACAACAGAACACTCCAATGTCGAGCTCCAATATGGTGCCTTAAATATAGGATGTAACTATAATTAGATATTTTGCTATAAAGGATAAAAGGTATTTATAGGATGTAATATTTTAAAATGGTATTTATATAAAATAAATAGGGTACTAAGGTTTTCTATAAGGTGAAAAATTTCCTAAGTTTTTCAAACAGACACATCAGAACACTCCAATGTCGAGCTCCAACGAATGTTCCACTTCCTAAGCTGGAGGAACCAATAAGGAAAGGGAAGGCGATGGAGAACACACATGCACAGCTGGTAACAGGTAAGATCCCTAACCCTAATCAACTATTGCTGGATAACTCATTTGTCCAACTGACAAATTTGGACTCAACCCATGCAAACAAATAAATAGGGCCTGGGCCCATCAACACTCACACCAAGTTTGGTCCATTAAATACTACAATGCCAACAGACCAGTCTGGGCTTAATCCAGTCACTATAAAATGTCCCAATATTAACTCCGTTAAAACAGACCATGAAACCATTAATAATATTCACAATTTAACCAATAAGTCTTCTTGTATCACGGAAATTGCTGACTCACACACACCTGACCTAATGGACACTACTACTATAATAAACTCCACACACGAACCCAAGGAAGCTGACTCACCCAAAACCCTTCCTCTACCACTACACGCAACACCAGACAAACTTTCTGACAAAATCCATTCACCTTCCATCTCCGACCACCTCCAAAAGATTTCTTTGCATGCCACCCAGCACGAGCCAATCACAAACCTACCTTCTCCAATGGATCAACACTCTTTCTCAATTCCAATGGATGCTCATCATTACCCGCCATATGATAAGCCCTTGCCTCTACTCAACCCTACCCCTATTATACACAATGAAACCTCTCACACTAATACCACGCTTGAACCTCCGATCAACCTGCCTAACCCTAATATAACAACAACTACAAAGCCCTGCAATGCAAAGACCTTGGTTTACAACCTTCAGAGAAAATCACTAGATCAATCACCACCACTTTCACTTCCCACGTCTGATAATGAATGGGCCACCCCACCTACAACCCACAACACCACTGATCTACACATCCCAAACACCACCTCTAGAATATCCACTCCAATCATGGTTAGAGATGGGGCTACAGAGATACTCCCTAATCTTCACACTAGAACTCAACAACCAGGAGATCATACGCCTCGTCCAAAATCCAACTTATCTGGAAAAAATTGTAACAGAGGGGATGAGGTTAGGGATGGACGCAGTGAATCAACCCCAATGGACCAGCATCCATACTCCCCTACTGTTGGAACACATAAGGCCATCAACATTAACTTAGTCTCCATGGGCTCATCCGACTTTCCCACCTCTATACAGCTTCCACCAAGCCATAGGTCCCCTCTCTTTCTTCCCACAACACCATACATGGATGATCTATGCCCCGTGATTTCAACACATAAACTCATTCTCACCCCAACATTGAGTTTGTCTCCAACGAGTGTCCAAGAACCAATATCACCTTCACCCAGCCCACCACCAGTTCCACCTCCATCGCTAAACATACTAAGAGAGCAAACAAGGCTAGAACTAGTACAAATAATGGAAGAGATGAGGGAAATACGAACAGAGTTCATCTGGCTAAAGGGATTTTATCTCTACAGCCTAAAGGAGTAGCATGCAAAAAAGTTCATACCGAAATGCCCTCCAGAACTCATCTCATACAGTGTAAATTTTCGGGTAAATCAGAGCCACTAGGAGGGGAAATACTCAATGGCGGTAATCCCATCATTGAGGAAGAACCCTCAAACACTCCAGACCAATCAGGATTCATTGGGAGCTATGACTGAGGTGGCTGACATAGTTGAACCCCTAAACCCCCAACTAATCATGAATTTAGTAGTTTGGAATTTTAGAGGGTCAAATAATGGAGAATTTAGAAGGCAATTTAGATCACTACTTGACAACTATAGGCCAGTCCTAGTGGTTTTATTGGAAACACGTATGCATGATCACACTATTTTAAAAAATGATTTCAACTTCTCACATATGGCACAAGTTTAGGCAAAAGGAATGTCAGGTGGTATAGTATTACTATTGCATGCAGACATGGTCACAATGGAAAATATTACAATGACTTCACAGGAGGTGCACTATGTAACGACCCGACCGATCGTTTTGAGCTCTAGCACGTCATTCAGCAGTTTGAGGCCATGAGAAGCTTCATTTCAGGTATTATGACTTGTACGCATGGTCGGGATTGAGTTCCAAAAAGTTCGGAGTTGATTTGGAAAGAGAATTCTCATTTCGGAAGCTTTAAGTTGAAAGAATTGACTAAGATTGGGTTTTTGAGTAAACGACCTCGGAATTGGGATTCGAAGGTTTCAGCATTTTCGTATGATGATTTCGGACTTGGGCGTATATCTGGACCGGGTTTTGGAAGACCCAAAAACGTTTCGGCACCTATTATGGAAGTTACCATTTTTGGAAGAATTTCATAAGTTTGGGTTGAAGTAAATTTCAGTGTTATCGATGTTCGTTTGGGATTCTGAGTCTGGGAGTAGCTCTGTATGCTGATTCTAGTGTTGAAAGCATGATCGGAAGTGAATTCGGAGGTCCATGGTTCATTTTGGAGCCATTTGGCTAAAGATAGAAATTTGAAGGTTTTTGAGAAGTTTGACCGGAAGTGGACTTTTTGATATCGGGGTCTGAATTCAATTCTGGAAGTTGGAGTAGGTCCGTAATGTCAAATATGACTAGTGTGCAAAATTTCAGGTCAATCGGGCGTGATTTGATATGTTTTGGCATCGAATGTAGAAGTTTGAAATTCTAAAGTTCATCAAGCTTGGATTGGAGGTCGATTCATGATTTTATCGTTGTTTGATATAATGTGAGGCCTCGAGCAAGTCCGTAAGGTATTTTTGGACTGGTTGGCAAGATTGGTTGGGATCCCGAGGGCCTCAGGTGATTCTGGATTGTTAACAGATCAAATTTGGAATTTGAAGAAGGATTGAAGCAGCTGGTATCTGGTGTAACCGCACCTGCGAGGTTTTGGCCGCAGGTGCGGAGCCGCAGAAGTGGCTAGGAGGGACGCAAATGCGGTGCCGGGCCAGAAGTGAAGAGACTGCAGATGCAGTCATGTAGCCGCAGAAGTGGGACCGCACCTGCGGTGGTTGAGGCGCAGAAGCGAAAAGGGTAGCCTGGTGAGAAACCGCAGAAGCGGGTAGTGGGTCGCACCTGCGGAACCGCAGAAACGGTCAAGTGACCGTTGGTGCGGAAATGCTGGAGGTAGTGTATTCTTTTAAAATCAGGGGTTGGTCATTTTTCCCCCCATTTTCACTCGGTGTGGACGATTTTGGAGACCTTCAAGTGGGGGTTTTTCATCATCAACGACAAGGTAAGCTAACCCACCTATCTTGAGTTAAATGTATTGATTGTGTATGGATTTTAGCATGTAAATTGGTAGAAACTTGGGGTTTGAGGGGAAAACCTAGAAAATTCGAATTCTTGGATTTTGACCATGATTTTGGGTATGGAATTAAGAGAAAAATCATGTATTTGAGTTCGTGAGTTCATGGGTAAACTTTATCTTCGAGAAATTTCGGAATCCGGGCACGTGGGCCCGAGGGAAATTTTGTCAACTTATCGATCGGGGTTTGGAATTGTTATAAATGGGATCATAATGAGTAATTGAACATATATTAATGGATTTGCATAATTGTTGGCTAGTTTTGGAGCATTGTACATCGATCCTTCGGAAGGACGTGGAATGCCGGTTATGGATCTTCGGAGCGAAGTGAGTCTCCTTTCTAACCTTGTAAGAGGGAATTGTCTCTGTAGGTAAAATAATTGGTTATGTGCTTCTATTTGTGGGGGCTACGTATGCACGAGGTGACGAGAGTTCGTGTATAACTACTATTATATGTAAGTTCGGGTAGTCAATGACCCAAAATCATGCTATACTTGGAATATCCGTAATCTTGTTGGCAGTTGAATTGCTTAAATCCTATCGAATCAGTAAATGAATTTCAAAAAGGATTAAACTTCATTTTATTAAATCTCTAAAAGAGAATTGGCTTTTATTTGGATAAACGTTCCCCGATTAAATTCTTAATTGGCTGTTTGAGCATGTATTTTCTATGTGTACCTGTGTCGCATGTATGATTCGCGAGCAGGGTGTTTGTTTATTTATCTTGACCGCGTCGCATGTATGATTCGCGAGCAGGGTAATATATGCATCTATGTTCGCTCTGTTCGACCCTTGATAGTGCAAATTTTACATTTATATTGGATCGGGCCGTACGACCTCGGCATGACATGCGCATGCTTGTATTGCTTGCCTGAGAATTTTAAATGTTGATAATTGCCTTTCCTGACCAGAGATAAATTGATAAAGATAATGAAAAGTAAATCTTTGGAAATTCTTTATTATTTGAGAAGTTGTTTACCTGCTTTCCAGTGTTATGAATTAAAATTTGCTTCATGAAATCCATGAATTCCTCACACTTTTACTATATTATCATTGGACCATTAGTAAGTGTCGAAGTCGACCTCTCTTCTCTACTTCTTCAAGATTAGACGGGATACACATTTGGTACACGTTGTTTTCGTACTCATACTACACTTGCTGTGCATTTTTGTTGCACATGTTCATATGTGGCTAGTGGCTTAGCGGCATAATGGCATGGTTGATACAAAGACTTAGGTGAGCTGCATTTATCGAGATGATCCGCAGCCAGCAGAGCCCCTCTTCAGAGTATTTTACGGTGTTTTTCATTTCTGTCCACCTTGTATTCCGGACAGTTACTATATTTTACTTCATTCCCTAGTAAATGCTCATGCACTTGTGACACTGGGTTCTGGGATGATTATGGGGTATCTTGTATTAACTTCTTAACATTCATATTTGATTTGAAATAATTATCTTTTACTAGTGAAATTGAAGGAAAATCATAGTTTCCAAAATTATCAAAACGAGAATTTAATTAAGTATTTTGGTTGGCTTGCCTGACAACAGTGTCCAGCGCCCTCACGACCCTTAGTTGATTTTGGGTCGTGACAACATGGTATCAGAGAGCTAGGTTCCCTTAGGTCTCATGAGTCATGAGAGAGTCTAGTAGAGTCTTGCGGATCGTTACAGAGACGTCTGTACTTATCTTCGAGAGGCTACAGGGCTGTTAGAAGCACTTCCCTTTCTTGATTCCTCATCGTGCGGTTTAATTCCTTGAGACTTATGCCTTTATTTCCTTCCTATTCAATCTTACGCAACGCAAACCACTTGTTATAAATCGAGAATTGAAGAATTGTAATGGTACCACAGATGTGGTGCGGGATGTTTCTCCCGGTATAGTTGGTTGGGCTATTGCCGTCGCCTTGAGGAAGAATTTTTCTATCGTTTCGGCTCGATATTTGTGCTTCTAAGAGCTTGGAGGCTATGTACAGGTTGCTATAATGCTCACGATTAGTTATCACACAGTATTGACTTGATGATAGGATACTTGCCTATGTGTTGGGGCAGTGAATGATTTGAAAGGAAGTCCACTTAGTGCACGATTTAGAGATCTGATATTTCATTTCCGGTAGAGGAAAAGCAATTGGCCTGTTGTGACAAACCGGCCAGTCGTCTCATGAGTTACCGCTCCGTTTCCCCCATTTCTGCTTCTTTATGCTTCATTATCCGTGTTTTGTGGTATCGGGCTGGTCGGATCAAATCTGGAATGATTTTGGTAAGGTTTGAGACACTTAGTCTCTTTTAAGAAAGTAAGAGTTGGAAAAGTCAATGGATGTTGACTTATGTGTTAGAGGTCTCGGATGCGAGTTCCGATGGTTTGGTTAGCTTCGAGAGGTGATTTATGGCTTAGGAGGGTGAACAGAATGGGTTTTGGAGGGTTGGAGTAGTTTTAGGCTTGAATTGGCAAAGTTTATATTTTGGCGATTTCCGGTTGATAGGCGAGATTTTGATATAGGGGTCGGAATGGAATTTCGAGAGTTGAAATAGTTCTGTTGTGTCATTTGGGATGTGTGTGCAAAATTTCAGGTTATTCGGACGTGGTTTGGTTGGGTTTTTGATCAAAAGCGTAATTCGGAAGATTTTAAAAAGTTTGGCTTGAATCTGATGTGTTTTGGGTGATTTGATGTTGTTTGAGGTGTGTTGGTGATTGGAACAGGTTTGAATAAGGTTTTAGGATATGTTGGTGCCTTTGGTTGAGGTCCCGGGGGCCTCGGGTAAGTTTCGGGTGGTCTATCGGATCATTTTTGGAGTTAGGAAATTGCAAAAAATCTGTTCAGCTGTTGTAGAAATTTTAACCTTCGCGTTCACAAGTGGAGTCTCGCGTTTGTGAAGAGGCAGTTGAGGAAGCCAAGTATTAAGCCTTCGCGTTCGCGAGAAGGTCTTCGCATTCACGGAGGGCTGGGAAGTGGTGCATCGCATTCGCGAGAAGGTTTTCGCGATCACGTAGAGGAATTTGGGTGAGATGAGTTCGAGGTCAAGTGTTCATCACGTTCGCGGAAGGGTGAGCGCGTTCACGAGGGGTAAGGTAGAGGAAGCATCGCGTTCGCGATGGTCATGTCGTGTTCGCATAGAGGAAAAGTTGGTCAAAGTAAGTTTGTGCTTCGCGAACGCGAGGGTTTGACCGCGTTCGCGAAGAAGGAAATTAAGGCCTGGGCAAAATGTTTTT